TCATTAAACTTACTTTGATATAATCGTAAAATTGTGGCCACTGTTTAAAATTATTCCCATTGTAATGATCACAGCACACGACAGAAGAAGTATTATTTCAAAAATACCATATTTTGGTTTTTTCCATAAAGGTATCAAAATTAATGGAGACAGGATAAAAAGTTGCATATCAACAGCTAAATACCATGTCGCCAGCATACACTGTGAAAATTAGATTTTAGATAGAAATTAATTATAGACACATCTTACATTAGATTAAATTGATAATGAGCTAATTCCATAATTACACATAGACTATCTATTATTTGAATAATAATTAACGTCCCGCAGGGTAAGTTATAGTAATCGCAAAAAAATCGACAATGAAAATTTTTATATATCTTTACGTTTCAGTGTGTAATTTCAGTGTCTGAAAATTTAGACATACCTTAGAAAAAATTGATGGTGTGTGTGTATGTGTGTAGGTTTGTGTGTGTGCGCGGATACAAATTTTCGTCGACGATTTCGTGAATACGAATCAACCGATTTGAATAATTCAAAAAACATTCGATTTCTACTTCGTCAAAATTTAATCACCACTTCTACCCATCATTACGAATCGAATGTTTTTTGTATCATTCAAATCGGATGATCCGATTTCTTAAAAACTGACATTTTAACATTTTATCAAAAACTAATTAGCACGTCTTTTCATCACTAGAAATCGAATGTTTCTGGAATATAATCCGTACGCTCAAAATCGTACTACTAATCCACACATACACACATTTCTGAGGCATGCCAAAATGTTCAGAAACCTCTAAAACGTGAACATATGCAAAAATTTTTATTTTCGAATTTTGAACCTTTACTATAACTTACCCTACAGGAAGTTAATTATAATATCATCTGCATTTTTATGCCCAAATACCATATTACAAAACTTACGACTTTTGTCGGATCCAAAAAGTTTTGTATGTAAAGCATATTATACCACCAGTAATCTGCACATTTTGTTCTCGTATCCTGTGATTTGCTTTCCCAGAAAGGACCACTTCCGAATTTTGTTTGTAGAGTTGCCTGATGATTAGATGAAATATTAATTTGGTAGTTTTAAGAAAATCAATGTATTTAATGCAAATACTACCCCAAAGAGCATTGCTGCAGCTAGTGCAGGCGTTAGGCGTATATACCGTTTTAAATAAAAGTGAAGACATTGAAAGGTTTTCCTAAGTCTCTTTCTTTGAGGAAGTTGATACACAGCAGCATTCCACTCAAAACAAAAAATGTATCTACAGCTACAAAAAATCCATAAACGTATGTGCTATATAAATTGTTGTACCACTGAAAATAAATAAAAATTATTATATCCAAATCCAATCCAAGGAGTATAAACAGAAATACCGATGGAATATCCTCAGAATTAATTGTAGGATACAATTTGCTAATAGCGTTTCTGTGAATTACTATTATACATATTATACTAATGGCTCTCAACCCATGGATACAGCCAATATCTTTACTGGAATATTTAATGCCCAACAAATTCTTGCCATTAGTATAAGCTGAGAAACTCAAGAGAAGTTTGTTCAATTTTTCTGCTTTTCTTTTTTCTGTTTTCAATAAAATGGTTTTATTATTTTCATGCAATGTTTGGTCCAACTAGATAAACAAATGTGTACATACTTCTTCTCAAGTAGATATCATATATCGTACTTATTGCCATAAGTAATCCAATTGCCAAAATTAAAAATCTGTTTAAAAATAACATAAAGACGTCAATCATTTGCATATAATTTATAAATATTTGTATGAATAAAATGATAAAGTAATAATTTTATATACATTGTTATCCAATCTGCAGCATTAAGAGGAGATTTTTCATTCCTTGTGCACATAACACGTGGATTAATCAAAGAAACTATATTTTTTTCTTTCAAATATTGAATTGCAGTTTCTATTTCATTTTTTGTGCAGGATTCCGGGATACAAATGGCAAAAGCCACTAATATGTTTTTAGGATTTTTGATATTTATTTCCAATGCGTTATTTTCAATATCATAAATTTCAGATAACAATTCGTTTCTGCGATTGATATCAATTTGATGTCTTATTAGACAGTATTGTCCTTTGATTTGACCAACATCAGTTGTTTTATATGTGGCCCTTAGGCATTCATCAAAATTGCCTAAATCAAAGTAATTTCCTGATAATATTCCTGATTGAAGTTTTGATGAAGGGTCGAGCACTAGAAATATAATATAATGATAAATAAAATTATTAAATGAAATTACAGAGATAACATATAAAAATCAATTATCCAAAAATATAAATTAGATGGATTTTATAAAATCAATTTACTTTTTAGCATTAACTATCTATAATAAAAAATCTGTAATTGGTAAAATATCAAAGTCACACCAAATTTTCTAATGGGTTTATGGGTTATTTTTTTGAAAATCGAACATCTGGGTAGAAATTATTATATTTTTATATTTTATATTTCAACCAAACTAAAATATTAACTGATATTTATTACATTTATTTGTTATTTTTAGATTGTTACTTCCAAATTTAGATTGAAGCTAGTTTAAAAAAATTAATTGCGTCTTTTGTTTTATTTAAAATATTTTATTGAGGAAAAAATTCAAATTCATAGTGTAAATGTAATATAAAGCAAAAAAAATAAATTAGTATAAATCATGCAATATCTATTACAAATCAGTAAAAATTTTCATAATATCAAAAGTCTAAAATATTAATAATATATATTATACAATTTATCATTGAATACCTATTTGATATGAATTAAATACATTTTGAATTTCCAAAATGAGGTAAATGACAAAAAAGTAAAACTATAATTTTATTAAATGCGTCGTTTCATTATTTACGTATTAATGAATACTAATACCTTCAAAGTTATAAATAATTAATTTTTTTAACCTTAGTATTGATTTTCCTTAAAATTTTCAATTCCTTCAAATTGTTGACTATAGATTTGGATAAGAGAGTTTATATTCATAAACAAATTTACAATTTTTTACCTTAATTCGAGCATCTCATCGTAAAATAGTCATTTTTAACTAATCACAAAAATATTGAAACATTATATTTCATTTTATAAATTATAAGAAATATATAGTACTTTATTAAAGGTATCAATTCGGTCAAATAGAATTAGGTTAACCTGCATCATCAATAGAATGATTATCAAATATTCAATGTAATTGTTACAGCTTATGCATTTATTTTCATTTTATAGTTATACTTATTAAAAATTCAAATTAAGTATATTAATTTTCAGACATTAGCAAAAATAATGTAGGTTTTCTATTATCATTTTAAGAATAAAGTTGTTTTGAAAAATAATAGTTCTAAGTTTTAATTGATGAAAATATGAGTAATCTATAAATTATATTTTACTAAAAACTATAAAATACTTACTTTGTATTATTTTAGGCCTATATTCCATATGTTTACTACACATAGTCGTATTATCATTATAAAGAGCTGAGGCTGTAAGCCACAAAATAGATTCATCAAAACCTTTATATTCTGAACATTTCGATGAATTTATTAGAATAAAAATCCAAATCGCTAGAAACTTATTTATCAATACACGAGACATTTTTTTATTTCAATATGAATTTAAGTTTGTACGCAACTTTTGGTACAGTTTTCCAATCGATTTTCTATAATTTTATGTTTTCCAACTACTTGCGTCACTTCCTTAAATATGATTATATATTTCAGCAATCGTTTTCAAGCAAATATATTCCGTTTTGTTAAATTATCACCTTCAATTTAATTACATTTATCTATTTGCATAATTTTATGACACAATGAGGAATAGAAATATACATAGAAATACCTTATAAATTATAAACTTAGTTAAAATATTTTGAATATTATTGACAAAATATATTATTTAGAACTTCTATTAACAATATGATAAAATAATTGCTAATAGTGGTATACTAATTGATATAAGCTAATAATTAATTAAATTATATTAAACCTATAAAATATTGCCTTAAGCCTTATTATAATATTAAATATTATACCGACGGCTTGTAAAATTAATAAATAAATAAATAATATTAATTTTTATTATTAGTAATTTCAAGTATACATTCAGAGATGATATCTGAATAGAAATCGGCCAATTACACTTATTTTCTATTAGAATGTAAATGAATAAAAATATCAGTTTCAATAATAATTTATAAAGATTTATTGAAGCATTGAAGAAATTGAAAATTTTAAAAATAAAAAAATCCCAATAATTAAAGTTAAATAAAATTATATAGTGAACATCCTGTATTTTTGCAGCATATTTGTATTATAATTTTAGCGTTATATATTCACATTTTAATGCGCATTTTATCGTGTAAATTTGGAAAAATATAAAAGTAAACAAATATTTGTTATTTAAAAATCTTATCTTTAATATTGTATTATTCAAATGTCGAATACTATTTATATCTCTTGAAACAAATTTTTGAATATGAATGTAACTTACTGAATATATTACAATAAAACATGCAACTACTATATTTATATATATATATATATATGCTAAATTCTTTGATGTTAAAATATGTGAGACTAAATTTTCAAAGAAAATACATCAATTAAAAAATTGTAGAAAATTATATCATCTTTATTTTTCCTTAAAGAATCGAGAATCGAAGATGATACAAGTTGCAATGTTTTACCTAACACCTAAAATTAAATCTAAAAATTATATTTTTTTAATTGACAAGAAATTAGTTAACTAGGAACTTTCTAATTTACATTCCACTAAAGATGACATACGATTATATGTCGAAACGTATGGAAATAATAAAGATGATATAATTTTCTACAATTATTTAATTGATATAATGCCCTGAAGATTTAGTATCATATACATTATCAGTTTCCTGAAATTAAATACTCTCGTATGAATGACATTTTTATTGAATTAAATTATACTTCATGAGATTGGTGACATTATAAAAATATTGCTATATTTATTACAAATCCGTTACTTGTTTTTCTTCTTCATCTTTGTAAAATCCTTCATTATCTTCACCTAACAACTCTTTAGCAGGAATTTCTTCAGATATTTCTTTAGGCTCCTCCTTTAATCCGTGTTCAGCATCTCCATTTCGTAGTATTTGAGTATTTTCATTATGTTTTTCTAAAATCAGTAATTTTCTTTTCAATTTGGATAATTATATTTATTTATTTTTTTGTGAAAATACTTACTCGGAGGGCTTCTACCTCCGCCAAATAAGACTTTCTCCAAAGTTGGAATGGGCGATTCAAATGCTAAACTCCATACTAAGGCTACCACTGATGAAAGACAAACATCGCCCAAAAAATATGCCAACTATAAATGATAATTGCATTTTAAATCTAGAATTGTACATAAAATATATTTATTTTTTACCAATTCAAATTCCGAAAAGTACATTGGAGTTTTTCTAGATACAGTTCTGGCAGTTTGCATCTGGTAATGCCATAAATATATGCAGTATGACAATCGGGCAATAGGTTGCCAAAAACCCCAGGATAGAATCCAGTTAATTGGACCTGATAATAATAATTACAGGAAAATGAGATATTGATTGATATAGCCATATGATTATTTCGATGCATATAAAATAGTTTAAAATATTATTCATTAGTTTAATATATTTTATAAAGTTATTTATGGCTCAAAGTTCAATCCAACTTCTTCCAAAAATGTAAGCTTTTAGGTAAACATTTTTATTATTATTATTCCTAAAAGTAAATACAATTTTATACTTTTTATTCACTTTATCAATTTTATAAATTTTTATATGAATGAATGAATAAATACAAAAAAATATGGTCCTACTATATAATTTGTCTAGTAATCGTTGCTCCTATACATAACTACACATTACCTGCTCTAGTTTTTTTTTGTTTAACCATAACAAATTATATTGTTATTAAAGTTTTACTGAAATATTGTTATTGTAGCAGTAATGACTTTACATTACCAGCTCCGTACTTTTTGTGTTAAACCATACCAGTACCATTTACCACCATATCCATCATCTCCATACTGTTATTGCACCAGTAATGACTACGTACTAACAACTCTATTTTTTTGTTGAACCATAACAGTATATTAAATCTTTTACCTCCATATCCATTATGTCCAGCAAAAATGATCCAACAAATCAGCAAAGACCAGGCTTGTCTGTGCAGAGCCTGGTAGAAACTTGAGAGCATGACATCGTTTTCCCAATCAAATCTGTAGAAACGATAAGCTCCAACAACCACTGCCACCATAAATACAAGAACCACTGCCCAAATGATCAAATTCAGTAACTGTAATCGATGGAATTAATATAATTAAGGATACAAGTAATTAATCAGTAATTTGATAAATAATTAATAATATTGTTGTAAGATTCTTGTAACACAATGTAAGGCAGATTCAAAGTTCTGTTGGTATCCAGTAAAAAATCATGAGAGAAACCAATAAAAATATTTAATTCAAGTTATTAAAATTAGATTTTAAAAGCTCTAATATTGAATCATTTAATATTATCAATTAAACAATTAATTTGGAATATTTCGATTTATTATCTTATGTTGAGAATTATAATTAAATATCGATAAAAAATATATACCATCTAGTATTTTACTTTTTGATAAGAAAACATTAAAATTAATATTGTTTATTTTCATATATTATCCTCATTTTAATAATAATATTTTGATATTTTCAAGACCTATAATATATGCTAAATAAATTACTTATTTATATTCTTATGATATTATTTTAATTTACTGGAATGTGTTCCGAATCTGCATAAATTCAATTATTTGTGAAAGTCATTATATTAATACTCTAATTGAAAGATTTGCATATTTTAACCAGGCGTTTTGCAAAATTAAAAAAAATAATATTTTTTATGATTATATGCTAAATTAATATTAGAAGTTTATCTATTACGTTTTCAAGAGTTTCCATTTAACATATTTCATTTATTAAATTTCTAAATAAAATTGCGAAGATTTTTTTGTAAATTACTTTACATTTTAAATATTATTTAACTGTTTAGAATTATTTGCATTTTAGAAACTATGAAAAAAAAATAGTGAAAGTCTATATCACTTGATTTTAGCATGAATGTTAATAAAAATTGTTATTGTTAATTAAAAAGTGAAGATATTGTTCTCTGTTTTTAATATTTAAATTTATTTATTATATATTTTCTAATAGTTGATTTTGCAAATTAATATTTATTTTAATTTAATAATAACTAGGGTTCTAAAAAATACCTTATTAATTTTAATTTCTTTATCTCTAGTTTTATGCATAATATATCCTAGTACTATTCCAAACAACCATGGTGCATATCTTGTATGGGCTGGAAAATAAATCGTTGTCATTTGGTCTCTGCCGATACTTAGATTCCTACAAAATTTAAAAAAATTCAGTCAGAACTACATGTAACTGATGTAAATTTTTCCATAGCTAATTTGCTTACATTAGTCCACCAGAAAAATCATTTACATAAGTCAAATAGAAGTTGACACCAATGGTTACCAAAGACATGGCTCCTATAAAGGCCAATGTTGGTTTTGGCCATTTGAATAATGGAATTATTAGGAGAGGAGCAATTACATAGAACTGCATGTCTACTGATAAGTACCAAGCTTGTGTTATACACTAAAAAATATAATTTAATGAAAAAACAATGTATGTTGTTGAGCTCAATATAAAAGGTTTACCATATTATTGGTATTAAAATAATTCTGTATATACAACAACGGTGTCCACCAATACAAAATGCAATCATCCCTTAATTCTTTCTTGGCAACTTCACTATTTGCAAATGGTCCTCCCAACAATCTAAAGAAAAAAGAGCAGTGAAATAGTACCAAAGCTGCAACCGGTGGTGTTAATCGCAAATATCGATGGACGTAGTATTGAAAAAAGTTTATTCTTCCTTTAGTTTTTTCCATTTGCTTGAAACTTAAATATGTAAGTAAGAATCCACTGAGGATAAAGAAAGTGTCTACTGCTACTGAACCTCCAGTGATTAATGTACTTCGATACTGCGTCAACCACTATAAAATAAAAACAACAAGTAAAATATAAAAAAATGCAAACAAAATATTCTTCATCAGTCATTTATTTCTTACATCCAAGGCTCCATTTAAGTTTACAACAGCTGGTACAGTTCCAAACATCATAAATCTATGAGCCAACACCACCCACAAAATACTGATAGCTCTTAGGCCATGTATACAAGATATGTTGTTGGTTTTCACATTTGGTGTAGGTATGATTGTGAAAATTTTATTGCCATTATATAAAACAGAAAATGCCAGTAGAAGTCCATTACTTGGTTTGTTTCCTGAAAATCCATAATTCGCATTTATGTCAATGTTTTTGTTGCTGTTGAGTAGATAATCTGATATCAATTTGTAGTAATCGCAGTCTGTGCCAGGTGTTGATAAAAAAAACTTGCTAATTTGTAATTTTGCAAGTTGTAAGATTTGAAGGCATCTGTTTTGATATGGTTTTTGCAATTATTAGGTTGGCTAATTACTAATATCACAGCATCAGTATTAAAATTATGGGATAAAAATTCGAACATGTTTCTGCTTACCTGTGTATCTTAAATAGACATCATATGCTGTACTTGATGCTAGCAATAATATGAAAAATCCAAAAACTACACTACAAATTAATAACCAAAATTAGTCCCGAACAAATTTATATATATTTTTTTAATGAATTTATTTTATTACTTACGCAGCCACGTATTCGATTGTTGTAAAAGGCTCAACTTCTTTTGTGTGACAGAAATCTTCAGTAATTCTACTGGATTTGATAATATCTACGATTGGTTTTAAAATTGGATTTTGTAGTAAAGTCGAATTGGCAATAATTTGTCCCAATCTACTTCCTCGACAGGAGGATGGAACGCAGTATGATAATCCTATTTCAGCAGCGCCAAAACCTTCTCTTGACAAGTGCCTAAAATTTTGGAAATTGAAAGCAACAAATTATATTAATTATTTAATAATATTTTCTGAAGTTAATATTTTGAATATTTTATGAAGCGATGGTGATTTGCCATTTATTTATTAATATTTGTCAGTCAACTGAGCTTTTTCAGTAGATACTCTAGATACCTGTATAAAAGGTCTGAGGCTAAATTTCAAAAAGGAAAATAAAGAAATATTATACGAAAATTAAAGACGAAGAAAATTAAAGAAACACTTAAAGATATTTTAATTATAATAAATAGTATATTAATATATAATGAGATAGTCAAATGAAATGTATATAAAAACTGGATATACTGGATAACCTCTCATACCAGACACCTCTGTCTGACTGAGATATGATGATGATCTTTTTGCAATAGTTTGAGATAATTTTTTTATAAATTATCTAATAATTTTGAAATAGATAACAGTAAACAAGAGTGACCAGGAAAAAATTAGATTCTCATATCTGTTGCCAATATAAATAACACCATAGTTGGTTTTTAGGATTTTGTCCTCGAAGATTTCAAAATGAAACTCTCGAATTTAATTATGTTGTCTGTTTATTTTCAGATCAGAGAGCTCACAATCAAACGTAAATTTTGTCTGAAAATATTTTTGATATAATTGCAGTTCAAAAAAATTAGAGAAATTCATTAATTTGTGAAGTGCAATGTGGTGCCACCAATCAGGAAAGCAAATGTAACAAGTGTTGGTTTTGGTAAAAAGCCTCCATTGGTTATGTTACCTTTGAGCAAGAAGATAGAAGGATACTAAAATAAATTTTATAAAACCACACATCACAAATAGATTTTATGACCTTTGGGAAGTGGTAATTTTCCATAATCTATCCCTACCTTGTCAATTCATGTTTCCACATATCTCTGGAACTATTAAATAGACCTCGTGTATCAATCCCTGTCATTTGTGAAGCAATTGCCAAAGGTATATAAATTAGGCAGTGTTGACCATAAAAGTCTCCTGAATCAACCGAAAGGCATTCATCATAATGTCCAAAATCAGCCATATTACCGGCTAATAGACCGGCCTGCAGTTTTGTTGAAGAATCCAACACTAATAATAAGAAGTTATGATAAACATATTGAAATCTGAATAATGACAACTAATATACAAAATATTTTGGTAAACAATACATGAAAATGAACACAGAAATGATTAAGATGAAAGCATGTCATAAATATTCATAAAACGATTTTTTACTAAAAGTATAGTTTAATACTCAGTTTTATAGTCAGTTATAAAATGAAATATAAATGTTGTATAATGCTTTCAAATCTATTTCCCTAATTTAACTAGAGTTTGCAAAAAAAATTTAACATATACTCGTATTGTTATAATATATTCATTCATTTTTAAATTATATTGATTAAAAACACAATTTTTTACAAAAGTTTGCAGTGAATCAAGAGCATAAAAAATTAATAAACATGACTTCAAAAAATTTAATATCATTCAATAAAACCTGAAAAATTAATTTAGTAATTGATTTTTATTAGGGTGAGTCGGTTTTTAAAAATCGGTTTTTACCGGTTTTTATAAGAGAATTGTCGAGTTCGAAAACCGGTTTTTAGTAGAAAATACTGGTTTTTAATGTATGAATAACACTTGAAAAAAAAATGAAAATGACATATGTAGCTAAATGTACCAGATATTTGGTACATTTTATAAAATATTTATATCTCTACATATGGAAATTATCAATAAACTACGATAATTAATTTTATTTGAAGTTATTTAATCCTGGTCAATTATTATTTTTGTTCTACTAAATTGCATAAAAAAATATCAAAAAGAAAATTAAACAATAAAAATTTTAGTCGAATCTGCTGTTAATCAATGGAAAATGTCTGTTAAAAAATTATGTTCGAATTACTTTATCCAATGTTTTTAAAAATCCTTGAAACCGGTTAAAATCAACTTTTTTAAAGAAATACTATACGGGCACCGGTTGTTTAAAATATGAGTTTTTGTATAAATCCTAATTTTAAATATCATATGATTTGTGGAAAAACCTCTGCATTCTGCATTTGTGTGTTATAAGTAGAATATTTATGTTGTAAATATCTCTCACCACAAATTAAATGTTTGTTTAACATTTTCACTATATATTATATTTTAAATAATAAAAAGCTTCTTGAATTATTCTGCATTATAACAAATCTAAAAAGACACTTGTTTTTCTTCTTAAATAATAGTTAACTCATAGCATGGCGTATTAATTTATATAATGTTCCTATCCATTATTGTTATAATATTCTATTATTAGTTGCAAAGATTCAATTTTATTAAATAAAAATATTTAATCTATGTAAAACTAATATTTGTATTTACAATTATTTAAGTAAATTATTACTTACTTTGTAGAGCCCATTGTTTAGGTTTTGGGGAAATCAGTGCTTGTGCATATTTTGTCAAGTGTTCTTCACATAATTTATCACTGAACCTAAAACTACTTTTAGAAAAAGAACTTTCAACATCATAAATATTATTATACACTCCACTTACAAAACCAGGATTTGAACACAAGATATGAAGAAAAATAAAAACTACGTAAACCAAAAAATTTTTACACCACATTTTTGCTAAAAATATTTATATAAATTAGCAAATTAGATCTACACTTGAATATTTATTATTTATAATATCACTACATGCTTCTAATCAGGGCAAATTCGCCTACGTTCACTGATTGAATGAAATCAGTTCATTTCCAAATTTTTTATCGGATTTATTGAGCCATACAGATTATTAGCAAAACAAAGCTTGATTTTGATTTAATCATATTATGAAATCAATAGATAAATATTTTCACAAAATTTGTGCGAAGAATGGGATGAGGTCATTCGATGAAAATAGAATAATAGCACTAAATTGCTTGCAGTTCTAATTATTTGTTAGAATTATAAATTTGTTGATACTATTTATGAATAAATTAATAAATATTAAACTACACAGATATTATGACAGAATTTATTTTTTAGTTTGAAAGTCATGTATGTTAATTTTGATTGCATTTTAGAAGTTATTGTTTGGTAAATCAATGTTTATCTACTTAATTTTTTGCTTCTGAATTTTGTTATTTAAAGATAATTTCAACTTTGCAACATGTTCTATTATCAATTCTGATAAGTTTTTGATTGTTTGAATTGTTCAAGGTGATCGATTACGCTAATTCTCAATCAATCAGATGTGACATATTAATTCAGTTCCAAATATAGTATCTAAACGCTATGTCACAATTTTTAATCTTTTTAGTTTTAAAAAGATAAACACATAGTTGGTTTTCTTAATTTATTAGATTAAATTTAAATCAAATATTATTATGAAACATTATAAAATAATTAGATATAAAAAATATTCATATTATATAAATCTTACATATATTGTAAAACTAAATATAATCTTAAAAGTTATTATAAAATTAGTGGCGGTTTTGCAAACAGTCTGGAAATATTTATATACAACTAAATTATGTTTTTGATTTATCACATTGAATACCAATATTAATAAAAATCTTGCTTCTTCATATCTTGCTAAGTCTTCTCTCTGAAATTGTTTCATTGAATTTTATTGCCCTTTGTTCTGAAAAATGTTTATTTACTCTTAATGTAATATATTTTGAATTCTTTCTATTTATTCCAGCACATAATATTTTTACTCATTTACCTTTTCTATAAATATAGCATCTCTCTAAATTTTTCACAGGCAATTCGAATAGCAAATGCCATACGAAGGCTAATGCTAAAATTACTACAAAGTCTCCAAAAAATAGTTGGACCTAAAATGTGATAGAAATTCAATTAATCAATTTTTATAAACAATGTTTTATGATTTTTCTTACCGTTCTAATATTTGTAAAATATTGTGGAGTTCTCAAACTTGCTATGCTGGTCAATTGAACTTGTAAATGCAGTAAATACATGCAGTATGATAATTTGCTAAGAATTTCAAATATACGCTGCGAAAGAAATTTATTAACCCAACCTGAAAAAATAAAATAATTAACTGATAAATGAAAAAATGAAAAATCATTGCAATGTCTGCAATTATCTCTTTTGTAACAGTGACAAAAATTATAAAAATTAATGACGAAAAGTTGATAATGATCTCAATTCTTGGAAAAGATGACTCGTGAAGTCTACAGGAGAAACACAGTTTTTAATACAAAAATACTTTAGCTTATAAATATCTATTTTATTTGCATGTGGCGATTTGTTAGGAATAAATTGAGCAAAAATTACAATTATGATATTAATTTCTAATTCTTTGTTTTAAATTACCTTTTTCAGAGAGTTGGCAAGTGTAGATAATCCAGCATGTTGCACACGCCCAAGCTGTTCTACTAATGCTCAAATGCAAAGTGGACCAAATTTCAAAATCATACTTTTGAAGCATCCATGTACTTAAAATAATAGCAGAAATCGTCAAACAAGATAAAATCCATCCAATTAGAAAGACTAACTAAAAAACAAAGGGAAATATATTGATATTAATCCTTTCCACTCGCAAATTCTAAGATTTATATGAATTTTGCCCCCGGAGCAGCGGCATCCGAGTGGAAAGGGTTAATTCTATGTTTGTGTATGAATGTTAAAAAAAGACATTAGTGAGAATGAAATTCTACTAGAAAGATATACCTTACTAAGTTTATGGTCTTGTTTTTCTTGAATATGGAGTTTATATCCCAAAATTATGCCAAGCAACCAAGGAGCAGCTCTTGCATGAGTTGGAAGATATAGATGAACTTGTCTTAATGGATTTCTGGAGATCGAATTAACAAAACCAAATATATTAACTTTACAATAAGCATTTCAGCATGTCATAAATACTTTGAATATTCTAATATAATAGTTTAAAAAAAATCGTAAAATTATTGCTATGGTAATTAGTATCAACCATATTATTAAACTTACGAAGGTAGTGTAGATGCTGGAAGATGTTCCAAATATGAAACCAAAAGGCAGTAACTAATACTGCTGATAATTAGAAATATTAATCCGATAATTGCTCTTTTTGGCCACTTACTCAATGCAGATAATATTACAGGAGAAATGAGATATAACTGAGCGTCCAGAGAAAGGTACCAAGATTGCCCAACACACTGAAATAAAAAAAATTAAGAATACTTTTTTACATTTAGGATTTTATACAATATCTACGTATGATACATCTAGGTATATCGTCAATTTATGCTATTTACATGGTATGGTATTCTTGATCCTGAAAATGTGAATGTTATGGATCAAATGTAATTTTATATATGGTATTCTTGATCCTAAAAATTTGCTTTTCTTTTACTACTTACTATCTCATCTGGATTAACATAGTTTTGAATATGAAGCAAAGCTGACCACCAATGATTGCGACAAATTTCTGTTTCCCTGGTCGCAACAGGTTTCCAATTTGGCCCAGAACCGAGTCCCAAATTTTTGGTGGTTGCTCCCAGCAATATTGCAGGTGCCAAAGGTGCAGTCAGACGGATATAACGATGTAAGTAGAAATATTTAGTAGAAAGTATTTTTGATGTATTTTGATTTCGGAAATATGATCTGCATGTCAATAAGCCACTTAAGACTAAAAATGTGTCGACACTGTAATGTGATGATAGAACGAAGGCGCTGATTGGATTGTAGAGCCACTAAAAATCAGACAAAGTTAAATATTTTTTAAACTGGTAAGTAAGTAGTTAATTACAATAAGCTTTCGTACCGATTTAAATATAGTAGAATTTCCCACAGGGAACATAGATGTCAACATATACCTATGACCAACTAACACCCATACTAAACATAGAACTCGTAATCCATGAAGACATTTAACATCACTTTTCCTGGTGTTATTGAAAACTTGTTTGCAATTACTTCGTAAACTAAAAGCTACAAACCATGTCCTAAGATCCGAATCCAGTTTTGGATCAATAACATTTGTACCATTATCTGAAATAGAAATCATTTATTTAACATGTCGTTTTACATATATCTCAAGTATTATTAAGTTGACCATGTATAATTTGTATAGATAACAAATCATTGAATTCCGTAGTAGTAGTTGGGAATCCAAATCCAATTTTACGTCAGATTGATACATTGTGATAATGTATTGTCTGGGTTTAATACTTTTGATATCAGAGCAGATAGCCAAATACTATTTTGGAATTATGTGTATTTTTTTTGTATTATTAATAAAATATTTTCAATACCTTTCAGAGCTTGCTTAACAAATGTGTCGTAAGAGGTGCTTAAAATAATTATGATGACAACAATCCCAAAAAAGAATCTGAAATCATAATATATAAATTATTATAAAGATAATAGTATGAAATATTGCTTTAACTTCAACTAGATCTACTGCCTTATATTCTGATTGCTATTTGGAAAAAATAGAGCAAATTTTGAGTAAGTTATTTTACTCTATATGTTTGTTTTGTTAGATAATGTACTAAATTGAATGAAGCAACTTTTGCATTTCACATAAATAATTTCTTACATCACAAATGCATCAAGATGGTCTAATTCTATGGATTCCAGAGAATTGCACACAATTTCAGGATCATAATTGGCAATTGTAGCGTTCATTTGTCGAACAACATTTTGCAAATGATCACGAATTTGTTTTCCACTACATGAAGATGGTAAGCAAATACCAAATCCTATAGCCAATTCTGTTTCTCCGAGTCCACTTGCAATGCTATAAATTACCATAATAAATATTATAAATGAATATGAAATAATTAAAATGAGAAAACAAGAGTTATTTACCAGCTTAGAGTTCACTACTAAACCAATTATCAAATGATATGGTATGGATATGGTCTTTTAATCGAATTTTCAACAGACAAACTTATTACTACTGAGAACCAATATAATATTAGTTTTTTATAGAGTATTTTTTCATTCGATAACAATAACAAATTAACAAACTACCCAGGAAATAAACCAGGACTCTCCCAAAATCGCGTAGCAAGACCTATGCTAAAAATCATGTATTATGCTAAAAATCATGTTAGGCATAAACGTCTTAAAGGGTTCTAATGTATATATATTTATATTTATTTAATTATTGATTTGTTTTATAAATAATAAGTTAGCAAGTTCTAAATTATGAAAGCTGCAGAAACAGAGATCCAGAAAACTGGTAGGTTAAAGGAAAAAAGACTGAAAAAATCTATTGCAGGTTTAATATATTATTTGTTGACTATCATATATGATAAAAAATATATTAGTGCTATATGCAACACTCTTATTATTTAGTAATCAAATTATTTAAAGATTTTGTTAGATGATAACGATGATGATATCGGTGATATGATGATCTTCAATTCATTGTGTGTCGGCGCATTTTGCTACATCTTTATCTTACAGACAGGTGCAATTTTTACCATTGTATTTTTTGATAAAATATCAAGAACAAACGATATGACTTCATGAATGACTTTTTAAAAAATACTTATTATATATTTTTTTTAAAACTAACCCTGTATATAATCTATGCTCAGTCTGCTCAAAATTTTGAGTAATCGCATAAACCATACAATGCTTTCCTCTAATTACACCTTGTGTTTTAGATTGATGATTTATTGCCAAACATTGATCATATTGTCCAAAATCTATCAGATTTCCAGAAAATAAACCAGTTTGAAGTTTGGTCGTTGAATCAATCACTTGATAAAAAATTAAATATAATTATAATATTTCTTTAAATTTATATTATTTTGTACATGAACTCACTCATTGCCGACCACTTTTCTTTATTACTTAAACCTAATAAATATTCATTTATCTCCAGATCACATGTAGACGAAGTTAAATCGATCGTCAATAAATAATTCACAACTCTGTCTGAGAATGTCCACATGCTACCTTGACAATGGCATTGTTTAAAAATAGTAAGCAAAATAAAACTATAAAATATTTTAAAAACATCTTGATGGTATTTTTTAATATTTATGACTACATAATAAAAATAAATTAATAAATTTTATAACAATGATATTAACATTTTGTTGTTTTCGCGTTATTCACATGAATACTAAGTTTTGTATTCTTGAATCGCTTCCGTTTGTTTGGAGTAAATCCCGTAATGTCAATCATTATCTTTATTTACTTAAGAAAGTAGCAGTAGTGTTCGTAAATTTACGGTAAATATGTATGTATATATATAATAAAACATTTTTTGTTAATTTATCACATTATTTATGAATCCAATAATGTTCTTTTCAAGAATTCGATATTTTTCAATGCAGTTTCTTGATGTTGTCATTATGCCTTTAATATCTTATAATTATATCATCTGGCAAAAACAACAAGAACTATATGCTTCACTAGGAGCTTAACATTTTGTGTATAAATATTTATATTTCTGAATTACTTATACAAAATAATTATTAAAATTTATATGAATAAAACAATTTTAATGTGGCTATTTAAATAATTGTTCTTATTTTTACTTTATTTTCAAGTACTTTGTACTTTATTTTTATTTATTAAACACTATTGTTGTATATGAAATTACATACTTATAAATATTATTTTAATTATAATCAATTTTGATCAATTTATATTCAATTAGTTTAATTTTATTCTATTTGTAGTTCCACTAAAGATAGAACAGTATGATATATAGAATGAGTGTATTTTATGATATTTTTTTAAAATGATTTATAATTAGGCTCATACTATATTGGTTTTCATATGTAATATGACAAAATCTACATTTTTATTGCATTAATAATATTGGATATATAATTTTTACTAAAAAATGTAATAGGTAAAAATATAGCTTTTTTCCAGCCCATTGCTACATATAATTAAAATATATAATAAATCTTAGATAAATTCTAATAGAGCAGTTCTTAAAACTGTTAAGTTGCAATTGCAGTTAAAAAATGGAAAAATAAAAAAAACATTCTATATTCATTTTAGGTCTAAAATATTTTATCGTCTTTTTCTCTTAGTATCTCCTTACGTCATCTTGACTTCCACATTTTTATGCAGTTTTATTTTTAATTCATCTATATATTAATTCGAACTTTTCAATTTAATAATTTTATTTAATTGTAAACTAACTACTTTTATTGCACATTGTCAGTTGGTAATGATTATGAAAAATTGTATTATAATTTTGGTTTTGTTGTTTTATTGGTTTCACCTAACTTCACGTTGCTAATCATCCATGATTATACTCTTCTTTTATCTAGGATTGTAGAAAATACTCTTCTCTATATTAATCTTCTAATATATTAAGTTCAACTTTTTCAATTAATAATTTTATTTAACGGTAGATTAACGAATTTGTGTTGCACAGTTGGTATTAGTTAAGAAACATTAATGTTATTATTTTTGGTATGTTGTTTTATTGGATTCAACTAACTTCACGTTGCTATTCCATCCAGGATTAAAGGAAATACTATAGGAAATAGTTTTCTTTTATCTATGGGATATACTAATATATTATGTTCTGTTATTATTATATTTTTGTTGTAAATGCCACTGTTTATTATACTTTGCTAATTTAATGAGTTCATTCAGAATTTTTCTTTTTTTTTAATTTTATGTTTTTTATGTCAGTTGTATTGACTTTGAGTTCTAATTTAATTCTTTGTTTACCTATATAAAGATTTGATTATTTGGTGTATAATCACTAAAAAAGAAACGTAAAAATTCATATTTTTTCTAATTTTTAAGTTCCTTCTTCGTATGCGGCATGAAACTACTTCATGCAACAAGTATTGCAAAAAATTTAGGCGAAAATGTAAATGGCGGTATTACAGGTAGCTGTAAGGATTCGAGACAAATAAGACAGATCAGAATCAGATACACTATCACTCTATTGACATTCGTGCAATTTGTAAATATAGCAGGTTATTTATTTAATAGTGCAATGAAATTTAAATATTAAACAGTACTCGAACAAAATAAAGGTATGTGAGTTGAATAACCTATAATTACTTTTGCACAATAACTACTGACAAATTTATAAATATAATACATATATTAATATATAATATGG